GATTAACCTGACATTGCTAGCGCAGTACAAAGACGTTTTTCCGGTCAATGCTGCTGGTCATCTATTCCTGCGTAAGCACACTCCAGTATCACGGGGATTGATCCAGAACCTTCATAGCCCAAAGGTATTTGTTCAGTGATATTTCATTTCGAACCTGAATGAACTGACAAGGTGTTGAACCTTCAAAATACGTATTCTGAGCTATGATACTCGAATGGAGGCTTCTCTATCCGAATGTAATCATGGCTGAAACCGTCCCCAAAATCCCGATGGAGGGCTTAGGAATGGTGTTAGTCATGGTGGTCGGTGTATCCTCAGCTAGTACCTGCTACCTTGTGCTCACCGACCACATTGTCAACCCCTCAGGTCGTGCACAAGGCACAATATCCTGGGGACTGTCCGGGATGGGAAGAAACTCGCAGATAATTGGTATCAGGGGATGTCTCTGTTGGCGAGTGCTTTCTGCTGTCAATTTTTGAGGTCGCCTGACCTTTGGTTTGGGAGTGAAAATTTGGTCAAGTCTCATTACGGTGTTGTCACCTTTAGTGGTGTGAGAGTGATATTGGGGTTGCCTATCATTTTGACCGTCACGCCGCAACACCAGAAAACTCATAAATTTCACCTGTCTTTACTCCATTTCATGATTGCGGCTCACCCTCCGATCGCGTGTGTAGTTTGTAGGGCAATAGACGCATCAATACAGGGTCAAACACGTTGTGCCTTCTAACACGAGTTCTGTTCGCTGAGGAGTTTTTTATACTTCCTGGTACGGAATAATTTGATCGAGTCCTCTGTTGGTTCATATTGGGTTGCTGCGCAGTAATGGAATTACTGCTGGGATATTTTACGTGGGTGCCACGAGCACGATATTTTCCCTATCATTTTCTACGCAATGAATACGTGTGCGCAGGTTCAGTGCTAGAAGATCCTATTTATACGTCAATCATTCAGCGCCTGGCTAGAGCGCTAAGCAGTTCATCAAAACACCAACCAACACGCGTGGTTCACAGTACGTCCACTGTTCCACGTACCCCCGATACACAATGCCTATCTTCTCCAACGCACAAGGATTAGTCATCAATAATTCCCAGTTCACGGACCAGCAGATAAACCAGGTAGCGAGCGGGCCAACTGGTGAGTGTGGCCAATGTGGGGTAGCCCTACTGCTAAGCTCGCATCGACGTTGACCCTAGGTATAGATATCTTGTTCGGGGCAACTATTCCTGAAGCAGCGTACAACTCCTCTGCCCGCGATCAACCTCCCCTATGTTTTCCCGGGACCCGCGAACAGCATATTGAGGATATCGTTCACTGGGCAATCCCCGCGATCGGCAGTACACCTTCACCTATCTTCCGGATGAATGGCCCTGCCGGAGTTGGAAAATCAGCTATAGCCCAGACCTGTGTAGAAAAGATCAAAGCGGAAGGAAAGCTCGGTGCCGCTTTCTTTTTCTCGATTGACGGACGGAATCAACATACCCACTTCTTCACCACTGTCGCGTACCAGCTCACTACCGTGTTTCCTGACTACCACAATCTTATCGAAAGGAAGCTTCGCCGCGACAGAACACTCATTGATAAAGCGGTAGCATCCCAATTCTGGGAACTAATCGTCGAACCCCTGCGGGAATTGGAGAGGAATGGGAAGGGTATTGGGAACAGGATTCCCATATTCGTTGATGGCCTCGATGAATGTGAGGATGAAAGAGCGCAGTGCACTATTATCGAAGTCATAGCCACGGCAGCTCGCGACGGCGCCACTCCCCTTTGCTGGGCCTTCTTCAGTCGCCCAGAGCCTCATATCGAGGCCACGTTTTCCAAGACAGATATCGCTGTGCTCTGTCACACTGTTACCATCCTCCCCGACTCATCCGAGGCTAAGAGAGAAATTGAGCTCTACCTCCGGGCAGGGTTCGAGGACATCCTCCGGCGCCATAATATCTCACCAGACCATCCATGGCCCTCCGACAATAATATCAAGACCCTCACCAACGCTACGAATGGATTATTCGTATACGCGGCGACCACCCTTAGGTTCATTGATCGGACAGGTTCGCATGGACCGGAGGGACCACTCCGTGAAGTGCTTGCTGTGATCTCACAGAACGGCACTACGACCGCACCGTTCGCAGAGTTAGATGCGTTCTACACACTGATCATGCGACGCATCCCTGCCAAAATTCTTCTACATGTCCGCTTGCTGCTCGCTATACTTTGCCATCTCGACTCATCCCCGAGTGCAATCGTAATGGCCAACCTACTGAGACTGTCAAAAATGGAACACCAAACTATTTGCAATCGGTTGAGCGCCGTCCTTCGTGTCTCTGACCAAAGCGAAATCTTCAAGCTGGAGGATGGAATTCGAACTAACCAACCCTATTACCAACACCCTAAAATTAGTCTCGATGCCCTTGGGAAACTCAGTGATTCTATCTTTTTCCGGTCTGGTGGGAGGATGACGTTCTATCATAAATCATTCCGGGACTTCCTTATCGATCCAAAACGCTCGGACGTCTTTTGGTTTGAACCTTGTGCAATATACCCCGTTCTTTTCAATCACTGTTACAAATTGCGACTTGATTTCGAGAATTGCTACCGCTTATGCGATTCAAGTGAGTCCTCCGGCATCATCTTGATCCCATCTTGCCTCTAACGATTATGATATTATTAGAGCTAGCGCGGGCACGACATGTACTCGACCCCACATTCCCTCTTTCTTCTCCAGGCGTGTCTGAACTAGCCAATTCTGTTATTAAGGCACAAGTACATCTTTTGACCGCAAGTATATGCGGACGTCTCGCGGATTTACCTGATCTGGACTCTGCACTATTACGAAAACACGGTCGCGCCGACTTTCGCAAATCTTTGTTCATTTGGACGAGCTTGTACTCCGCAGAAGCTCGCAACTCCGAATTTTGGAGTTGTATGGGCCGCGTAAAAGTAGTTGGCAGGACCGATCTCTTCCGACTTCTCCCTGGAGAGTTCCCAAAGTTTAATGTTGTCGAATTTAAGAAGGTAAATTCGCTTTCCGTTTTCCTAGAAATATTGTGAAAGACACTGATTCACCTTTGGAAGATGATCGAAAGGCGCCAACAAGCAGGGGTATTACGACCGTATTTCCCCACTTTGGCATCGTGGCTCTGGTCTTTCTCCCTGAAAAAGACCCCGAGTCCCGTCGAATCTGGCTTATACCTGGTCGGGCATGAACCCAAATCCATCTTCTGGTATTGGGAGATAAATTTCACGGATAAATATTACCAAGAATTCTCGACGTCTGACTTGACTGAGGGAGAAAGGATATTTCGAGAGGAGCGATTCGATTTATGGTTCAAGGAAGGTCACGAATAGTTTGCATTCTATGAACTTTGAGCGATGTATGCAGTAAATTGAGCTTTACTCCATGGACTAGTTTAACAGGACAGAAATCTTGAGGTCAGGCTGAGTCTTGTAGTGCGCTTTGACGCCCATTCCATGCGGTCCTAGGAGCACTTTGATGAGAATAGGTCACAGGATAATGACAGAGATCTCGTTAGTCATAAGACCTCTGCGATAATATAATCCACTGACGAAGCGACGTCAACACAATCCAGCACTTATCACTGAGCCATTACAGGAACTGGAGAAAGCTGGGAGGGGACTTAGGCCGATGGGCGTTCGAGTGCAGATTTTCAGCGTCAGATGACCGAGCTCGTTGCGGCAACCGCTTATGACAGCGTCGCGCCGTTTCGTTAAGCCCTCTTCAGTCGCCCAAGTCCTATATTAAAGCCACTTTCGCCCTTGTAGGTGTTGCTCAGGTGTGCACCACCCATTTATCCATCTGGTGATTCCGAAATCGGGCTTTGCCTCCGTAGTGGTCCCGGGGTCGCGTCCGTGGAAAGAAATGTATAAGTTAAACATGACAAAAATACTGGCAGTAGAATTTGGGTGATAGGGGAATGGGCTGCGGGCGCCCAAGATCCCAGGCGGTGAGGTCGGAGAGGGGCGCGTCGGGTCGCCCAACTGCATGCCCTTTCGAACACCTGTTCCGGCGCTCCAACTGGAGATGGGGGGTGTGCCAAAAATAAGGGGGAAAGTGGCGGAGTATTGAGAGATGGTGGGTATGATATAATGTGGGTATGAGTAGAGAATGGAAAGTGGAAAGTGATAAGGTTAAATGTCACGTGACTCACAGGCGAGAATACATGCACCTCGCTCGTTATACCCGCTAAGTGTGTTACTTCATCTATGCAGCCACGGCGCTTCGGGTTGTGGACCTGCCTGGCTCTCTCGCGGAGGCGCCGAGCGCAGTCTGTTCTGCCGCCTCGGATCACACTGACAATTCACCCTTCGCGGAACTCGACGCCTGTTATATGCTGATCATGAAGCGTATTCCCCCTAAAGACCTTCTGACATTCTCCTCTTGTGTGCGATGTTGTGTTTTTCTAGATCATACGCCGGTGGCAGAGAGTGTGACGTGGCGATACAGAGTAACCTAATGGCACTATCCGAAATTGAATCCAAGCAGCTTGTACTCACCTGGGCACCGTGCTCCACTTTCGCGACTACAGTGGCTTCCACGCCACCTACGCTGATGATACCAACCGTCCGCCACAATATGCAACTTTGGTTTTCATCAAGGAGCTACGAAACCATGTGTTTCCTCCGCTTGGAAGTTCAATCCGATCATAACAAAACAGCGGGCGGCCAACCAGTTATTAGATCCAAGATAGTAGATCCAAAGGAGTGAAGCCAACAAGCTTCTCGGTTCGAATAGTCAAGATTTGGGTGCGCTACGCGAATTTCTTAATGCAGTGACTAACAAGAGTTCATACGAGACCGAAATAATCCCGTAACATAGCAACTCTACCGTACGCGTGGAGATCCCGCAAAATTCAAATGTCTGTTCGGGAAAATCGGAAAATATCAGGAAAGAATGCCAGAGTTATGGGATGCGTGGACCCAAACACCAGCTAGGAACCTTCCGCAGGCGTCTCATGGGATCAGTGCTCACCTACAAGCAAGCCCGCCTAGCTCAATCGGATAGAGCGTCAGACTCTTATGTCTCTAATGCGGGCTTTAAAATCTGAAGGTTGCGAGTTCGACCCTCGCGGTGGGCTATATGTTCCTTTTTAGTGCCTCGCAGGCTTGGTGAGATTTTTCCAGCTGTTCAGAGTTCGATGAGAACCAATCCCTCCCCGTCCTCTAATTCAGGGAGGGTATCTACAATGGCTGTCTACACGGCCACGATGTGGTCATTTTCTTGGTGAGCGCGAGCAAGCCGAACACCCTGATATTAGTATTAGTACCATGGATATGTAAAGAATCAGACTGATCCTTTTATGTGCGCTGGATCCCAAAAAATCGCTTTCTTTCCGTCACTAACGACCAACTCAAGATCATGGCCCTCCCCTGGAAGTAGTGCTGCCGCTTTATCTGAACACGGGACAGCTAGGAGGTGTATAACTCCCTTCTTCTCTTCTTCCCAGGCTTTCCGACCTTTTGCGTCCTCGAGAGATCTCTGGGACAGCGCATGGGCCGTAATTGCGGCTCGACCATCCCCCGTCTGAAAGCTTCATTACCCTTTTGCTCTTCGCGTTCAGCGTCGCCCTTATGCTGCTTGTAGAAGAAGGATGCCTTTGAATAGATGATTTTGTGTATAAAAGCGGGATCTTGAGCGTTCTCGATCTGGTGTGTGAATGACAGTAAGATCGTGTCCGAGAACTCTTTGACTGCCTCTGACGGCTGCTGGTATCGACTGGAGATGAAGGTATACGGAAGGGAGAGAAATCGTTCGTTTTGTGAATCTGACGAGTACATTGGTGTGGAATAGGGAAGAACGGAGGACCACCCGCTTCACGGCTTCGTCCGACCTCGGGAGGCCTTTGTAATCCTCCACCAAACATGTATCGCATCAGTGAAGTGTACGTTTGAGTTTTTCGGGGTTCCGGATCCAAAAAACCCGCAAAAGCCCGGGAAAACCTCAGAATAACCCAGAAACCTCGAAACCTCAAAACCCATGTCTGGTTTCCTCGAAACCTAACTGTTTTCCATCCAACGGAAACCTTGGAAACCAGCGGAAACTGGAAAAAGCTTACGAAAATATTCTAAATATATAACTAGTGCGAGTTTGTAAGTGCCAACAGCTAAATTAAAGAGTCAAATATGAAACAGCAGAGCAGGGTGTCGTTAATACCTGTGGAGGTTTTGGGGTTTCCAGGTTTCCAGGTTTCCAGGTTTCCAGGTTTCCAGAAACCCAAGACCTCGAAACTTTTTTTGTGCTTCACTGATGGTACTTTCCCCTGGAAATTCCTCTAATGTAATATAGAGACGCCCACTCGGCTACCTAAGAAAACTAGGCGCAAACCGGTATCTCTAGTAGAGTCTTACACCTCGGACATTTCCCTCATGCATTTCCTCCGCCTCAGCGAAACTTACAAAACTAGCGGTTGTTCCGAACCCCTTGGATACACTGGTCCGTCTGGGATCGTAATGGTAACACCATCCACCGGGTCAGACGGCTAATGTATGTGTTAAAAACGCACCAGGCCGGTTTCCTTCGAAAAACCCGAGGTTCTGTTATTGCCGTTGCGTCGTACACGACCCAGCTCATAGTTTTATTCCTTCATTTTCATTTTTTAAAATTTGTGACTTGTCGAATGTAGCTTTAGGGCATTGCCAGAGATTGTATAAAATACCGTTCCATTGTAATAAATTAGTTTCCTAGTTAATGTAAGGAACCTTTTCGAATTCTCAGAGTTCAAGCTCGGACGTCCGTGGTGTTGGCATGTATAATAGGATGCAGCACTGGCCGGAGCTGGCGGGTGTGTACTACCTACCGATCAATCACCGGACTGACGGACCATTTGCCGTCCTCAACACCGTGGACACTGAACCGATTGTCGGCCTCGATCAGCTGGATCCCTGAGCTACATAGCCCGTATCATAATTAACGATAAATTATTGAGCAAGCGACAATACAAAGCGGCTTGTCAGAATGGTGGGCGCTGCCGTGACTGTGGGCCTTCCATCAGAGCAGGATGTCTCTCCCTTGCTATGGGGCTGGAGGGGATATGTTTCGAGTTCTTGCTTTAGTTTCGGAGCATCTCATGTTGTTCCACAAGAACCCTGACGCACTCATAGCACACCAGAAGCATTAGAATATAGGATACCGGCGGAAGCTATGACGAACGCAGAAAGCGCCCGTTCTGATGACGGGACAATGGCTGTGTGTTCATAATTAATTACGTCAGTGTCCGTGTCAGACTCATGCCTCTGGGAAGTTCACTTCCTGCCTTGTACATTTCGCTCAAAATACATTCCTTCTAGCGCATCCATCCAACCCAAAGACAGATATTTGGTGAACACAGGCGATGCACCAACCCATTCTAAACATTCGAACACAAGATGATGATCAAGACTCAAGGTTCAATCATCCTCGGACGCTTCTCGCCTCACGCCTCCGGGGAGTCAGTCAGTAATAGCATCAAAGTTCCGGGGTTCAATTGAGATGGGCGACCCGAACAAGAATCCGCAGTATCATGATATTGAGCGGCGCCCGAACCCGGCAGTGGGTCGGCACACTGCAAGACCATTAATCACTATAAAATTCGCACACCTGACCCTCTGATGATAAGTAAGTAGTTCTCTGATATTCGGATAGAGGGAAGAACTAAAATAGTTCAGGGGGTCTAACAAACCGTGAGGTGCCATCGACCTTCGGGTGCAGTCAAGTCGGATGGGTTTAGACGAGAATTTAACCCAGTAAGTAGGTCTAGACTCGGGTGTAGTACAAACACCTCTTACAAGTCAATCTACCATCACGTCTCCGGGGAGACGCCCAGCGGGGTTTGGAACAGTAAAAGTCGACCACGGATAATGGTCGGAGTGTTTGGCACTATCCATGGGAACTCTTCAAACGCTCAATCTCCTCTTCTTTCGTCAAACACTCACTAGATGCATATAGACTAGCCAACGAAGAAGAAATATCAGACAACGGCCAACACAATCTATGGTGGAGATGACAAACTATTTATAGCTACTACCTTGGCATCCTGACTCTGAACTTGAAAGGCTCACATGTATAAGAGACTTCCCCATTCGCTTCAACAAACAACAATAATACACAGCATAGTCCAGATTTATACCAGATTCATCGCCGTCCACATGATCCCCCTAGTCACTGCTTCTATTATTCACCTACTTGAGAAGAAGGAAACTCGACCCACAGCCATTCACGTCAAGCTATAATTCATATCCGCACAGCGACGACACATCACAGTAACAATACAACAACAACAACAACAACAACAACACTACCGTGTCGCCTCGAGATACTAACCGACCCCATTCGTTCATTCTCCATAAAGAACCATCATCGAATCTTGGGACTCCTCCGAGCTGCTGCTTCTTTCGGGCGCCAAGGGGTCCAGGGGGTAGTCCTAATCCCGGATTATGTCACCAGCGAGCCTCATGGTGATGCGATGCCACGTTCATTTCCATTATGTGCGTGCATTCCCAATTGTACATATGTAGGTGTTTGCGGTCTTTGACTTGTGCCGTGGCCGCGTCATTTCCCACTCTGTCGGCACAAAGACAGGGGGAGGACTGGTTGTTGACTAAGCCGAACTGGATTTTGCGTAATCCGACCTGTGGCGCTCCTGGGACAAGTCCTGACAGGCAAGTGGTGCACGTCCGTCGCCACTTGGACATCGAAGGATGAAATCAATTGTCGTCATGCCTCCCAACAAATCCACGTAATGTATCCAATTGCATCGAGAGAGAGAGGAGAAAATAAATATTCAGTGTCACAGCTACAGATATATACAAACACTATTGCGTAACAGAACAGAGAAAGAAAAAAAAAGAGGAAAAGATTAAGGTATTGAAGCCCAAATGAACAGGGAGTGGTATCATACAACATAAATCGAAAACACATATCGTAAAGTATACGGGCACGAGCACCGAGACATTTTCAAACATATCGAATGCGAGAGAAGAACAATCAAGCGTGTAATATGAAGAGAAAAGAAAAAAAAGAAAAACCAGAACAGTCAATTATCACAAAGTCGCATGAGTCTGAGGATAATACCCTCCCTCCTGTTGTTGTTGTTGCTGCTGCTGCTGCACATGCGCATCATACGCACCAACCGGCAAAGTATTCGCATGCCCATACATCTGATGCGGAGGCAACTCCATCGTATACGGCGCCGGCGATTCCGTCGCCTGCATCTGCGCCACATGCTGCGGCATAAACGACCCAGGACTCGACGTCCTAAACATCTCCTGCGCCCCTGCACCCCCCTGCATCATCTGCTCCGCCACAAAACTAGCTCTCGACTCCGACCTCCTCACCTGCTGCTGCTGCTGCTGTTGTTCACCCCCCGCACTCCCCAACGGAACATTATACACCGCCGGACTCGAATGCGTCGACCCCGACCTCGACGAACTAGCATACCCACCCGCATACGGATGATACCCCCTCCCCATCCCCATCATACCCCCCATCACATTCGACACAGGCACAGGCACAGGCGACGCACTCCCACTCCCCGTCGCATCCCCACTCCCACTCCCACTCGCATTACTCGCAGTACTCATCGGCCTCCTAATACTCTCCCCCGACGCCCTCCCAATCAAACTCGGCGTCATACTCCTATGCCTCCTAATCGGTCCCGCCATCGCCGCCGCCGCTGCAGCCGCTGCAGCAGCAGCACTCGCACTAGCGCCAGCCGCATTCGGGTTCGGGCCAGCAGATACAGCAGACTCGAGTATCCCAGGGGGATACAACCCCGCATGATCAAACGCCTGTTTATGCGAAGGCGCCGACATGGACGTGACCACGAAATCTTCTTGCGCCCCTGCATGATCCACCCCATTCGCGCCACTATTTTGATAAATCGACGACACCGAGTTTGATGCAGAATGCGTCGGTCTGCCCGGAGCAGCAGACATAAACCCCGCAGGTGTGGACCCCAACGAAGACCTATTCGCCGCACGACTGTTGATCGTCATGCCCTGAGGCCCAGGAGGCGGAGACGGCACGCTCAAAGTACTAAACGCCGGACTCTGCTGCGATTGCGCCCACTGCGTCCTCTCTTGTCCAAATCCATTCGCGCCC